GTCAGGGTCCATACAACCGTCAGAATCTGGCATGTCCACCTTTAATACAAAAAAAATATCCTAGTATACAAAGATCTATTCCACTCCTGAAGCCATTCAATAAACTTGTCAGGGTCCATACAGCCGTCAGAATCTGGCATGTCCACCTTTAATACAAAATCAGCTTCTCACCTCCTATACATAATGTCAAATTGACACAGCATCAACTCTTTGTCACTTGAAACTTCTCGGTCAAAAGGGTTTTTTGTCATCACCTTCACCTGCTTAGTCACCATTATTGTTGTGACTTCCCCATGATGTCACTTTTCAAACTCAACGAACCTTTGTTGCAATTAAATGATTCCCTTTGCATGTCTTCCATAATAATTTCCTGAGCACCTCATTGATGATTTCTCCTTGGCGGCATGATGTCTAGTTCTTCCAACCAACCATTGGGCTAGCTCTAATCCCAAATGACACCGATTTAGAGCTCCTACAAGGTGTTTGGGAGCTAGGTTTGATGGGGAGGAGGTAGAGGAAAAGTGAGAAAATAAAATTAAGGGCGACCAACCATATTTGGAGGAGAATAGACAATGTTCGACGGTTGTCCCAACTGAAAACAACAAGGAAAACCACGAAACGATGTGGTGTTGATGTCATGTAGTGTCATCTAAAATTGCGGCATGGATAACTGAAGAACAATTGGAACTGATAAAAACAGTTTTCCTGCATCGAACTGCATTTGGCTACTAGTTGGATGACAAAGGAGGCCTCTGAACGTCTGGGAGAGATCACCACTTTGATCCTATTAGCTTAGAAGCATACCACCTGAAACAAGTTCAAAGATGCAACACTCCACAAGATAACACGAGGAGAAAACATCTCCAAATGCAATAACAATAATAAAAGTCCCCTCAAAACAAAATAACGAACATATAAATAGTCTCTCACGCAAAACCTTACTTAGGAATAAGAAAAATAGGAAATAAAAGCAATGCTAAAATTTGAAAGTTGGTGCTTCACTCCCCGTCTGAATCAGCAATTGCGGGAGCCACAAGTGACGACTTGTGAAATCATTGAATTCCTCGCAACCTGCACCCCGCGTGGTCCCGCATCAGGTTGTTTCCTGCTTCCAACTTGTTATCCAACCACCGAGACCCTGATTTCTCAACCATCTTCTTCACACATTTACTCATCCTACAACTTACCTAACCTTTCTTTGTATTATCCCGTACTGCCTAGAACCCTAGATATGTGTCATGTGAGCTCCGCAAAGTGAGTTGCATTTGCACAAATGGCTAAGAGATGAATTGGGCTCGATGTGAGCTGCGCAATGGGGAAGCAAAAGCCACATGACAAATTTGTAAGCTAAACTGAAGAAGTGAGTAAGGGAGGGCAAACAAGGGTTATGTGCAAGCTTGTTACACCAATGCCTAAAGGTAATTTTATCTTTTACTAGCCTAAGGATAATTTAGTATTTTAATATTATTATGATTGTGAGGTATACACAGGACTAATATGTTTAAAGTTTGAGTTATGATAAGATTGTTGTCTTGAGTTTAGGGTTAGGGTTTTAAGAGAGATCACCTACCACTCGAATTGTAGATGTTCATCTTTTTGAATTTGGAATTGTATTATTTTGATTTGTTTTTAACGAAATAAAATATCACTTTTTGCCCGAATTTCTCAGAAAAAATTGCTGGGGTCTTTTCAAATTAAAATCAAAGCTCTCGATTTTTTGGAAACAAAGAAAAGATCGCAACATAAACCAAGAAAGGATCGTGGCACACTAGCTCGGGAAGACTGACGAGATCGCATACATGCAGTCACAATAGAAGCTAGTTGGGCCAGCATTCGGGGTTGCTACATACAAGGAACACGACGTACAGGTTCAGCAATCAGGAAGGATCGTTGTTTATAGAGAAGCAAACCACGGGACCACAACGTACAATGACACAATCGACTCATGATACAGTTGTGATTGGAGCTAGCTGTCGAGGATGGGATTACGTTCATGACCTAATATCATGAAACAATCACCTTTCAAGCTAGCTAGGAAAGATCACATCGTATAGCACTGCTTTTGTGACAGCGTCACGAAGCAGTAGAGATCTGAGATAGTTGAGAGGCAAAAGAAGGGATCATGGGCATGCACGATTACACCTACCCAAAGTCAGACTCCCTGAGAACTTGAAGAGATGACAGCAAGGAAAGTAGATGTTTTGGGAAAGGATGGAAGAAGTAGGGCAACATAAATCTGGGATAGAGGAGATATTCTCAAGAATAGAAGAAAGATTTTCCTTCATTGAAAACCGATTCAAGAGCTTGGAGGAGATGAGGAGGAGGTTTATTAAAACCCAATCCAAGTCTTCTTCAACGGCAATTCAATTTTCAAACCCTAACCAAGGGTTAACCGAGGAATTATTTGATAAATCGAAAGAAAAAAAGATCAGATGAGAGAAACATAAAAAGGAAAACATTCATCACCAAGAACCCCATCCTAGGACTTCGATGGGGGTTGATTAGAGATTTGAGATAGGAATTGGGACGAAACAAGAAGAAGGGATTATATAAGGGATGTAGAGGAGCACGAAGAAGGAAAGAGAGAAGCCAGGATGGGATATGGCTATGATCGAAGGAAGGATTTTTGTCGTAGATACATGTGGGGGAAACACCAAGGGAGAGAAAATTAGGGTGATGTTAGGGTTAAGAAGTTGAAGATATTGATCTTCGAATGGGAAGACATATATGGTTGGCCAAGTGGAGTGATATTTTCCGATGAATGGACTAAAAGAAGACACATGTGGTTGGGTGTACCAAGTGGAGTGATATTTTCCGATGAATGGACTAAATTGGGATGAGAAGCTCATGGTCCCAGGGTCATGTTAGGAGAGGAAAACCCAAACATGATTTTAGTGGAGGAAGGCTAGATACCCGATTTCATCCTGAGAGAATTTTAAGGATTTGGAACGTTTCTGAGGCTCTCGAGGAGACCTACAACAGCAATTCTTTGTCTTTAGTCGGGAAGAGACTGTCATGGAGTATAGGGAGAGATTTGAGTCATTACCGAGACAACCAAAGGGGGATTTCTGAAGCAATATTGGAGGGGAATTCCATGAAAGGTCTAAGCCCCAACCTGACATACGTGCAACCCTCTAACTGCTGCGACCATGGGGATTGAGGGAGAGAGACAATGGAATTAGCACAATGGAAGACAAAAGGCGATGGAATCAGCACAAGTGAAGCGCTAACCGAAATTCTATGACCAGGATGAAACAAAAAACTCAAAAAAGTGGAAGTCCAGAAGGAGGCTTCATAGAACAGGAATAATGGGCCACAATTGGGGAGACATTTAAACGCTATATAAAGACAGATTCAAGAAAAGCAAGCCAATTGATTATTTTCAGAGCGATGAGAATTTTTTTCAGGACACAGTTATAAGGATCGGACCTTACAGATTCTCACAGTGTGTGACAATGGGACGGGAGCGGAAGAAATAGAGGAGGGTGGTGGAAGGGGAGACACACCCTCACTTAGATCTGGCGGAAGTCTCATTGAACTTGGTAGCACGGTTAACCTCGAACCACACTAAAACTTTAGGGAAATCACATAATGGAGTTGATAAATAGTGAGACCACCCACAACTTCATCTTTACTTAAGTAGTTAAACAATTGGAGCTTGAGATGAGAGACATTGGAAGATTTGGAGTCATGATGGGGATGGGATAAGTAGAGAAGAGCATGGGAGTTTGTAAAGGGATGATTTTAACATTGCAAGATATTCAAGTGATGGAGAATTTTCTTCATTTGGATTTAAGTGGCGTTGACATGATATTGAATATGAAATGGTTGCAATCCTTAGGGGAGACAAGTGAATTGGATGTTTCTAACAATGGAGTTCAAAGAAGGAGACAAGACAATAGTATTTTGTGGTAAACCTAATTTGTGCAAGACCGAGATGTCGGTAGATCCATCGAAGGCTGCGGCAATGTTGGAGCGGTCACTACGTAAGACCATGAAGGGGTTGAGAGGATTTTTAGGACTTACATGATACTATTAAAAGTACTTGAAGGGTTACAGCTCGATCGTGTAGTTGTTGACAGAGAAATTGGAAAATGATAACTTTAGTGAGGGGAAAGCGACGACCCTAGCTTTTGAAAAGTTAAAAGATGGCACTGACAAGTGTACCGGTATTGTCGTTATCTGATTTCAGACAACCTTTCATTATAGAAACGAATGCTTCAAGCTATGGATTAGGCGCAGTTCTCAAGCAATGTCAATGACCAATTGATTATTTCAGTAAAGTGTTTTTTGTGCGAGCTAAATTCAAGTCAGCTTATGAGTGGGAGAGTGGGAGTCAGATGCTTTAGCAACAATTTCATTTCTTTCAAGCTGAGAACAAGGTGTATTTATGGGGAGAAGAGTATTGTAACGCAGTGCATAGGGCAATTTTATCTTTTATTAGCCTAAGGGTTATGATTAGATTCTTGTCTTGAGTTTTAGGGTTAGAGTTTTGGGAGAAATAGTCTATCTCTTGAATTGTAGGTGTTTATCCTTTTGAATTCGGAATTATATTGCTTTGATTTGTTTTCGGCGGAATAAAATTTATTACTTTCTGTCCTAATTTCTGTAAAAAATTGCTTGGTTCGTATCAGAGCCACAAATAAACTATGTTCATTATTTCCTCTTTTTTAAAGCGGGTATAATATTTAAGGATTAAATAAGTTCACTTGGCACATCAGTCTTTTAAGTCATTCCTAAGGAAAACTTAACTGTTAGTTGCACTTTGAAAAGCAAGTGGACTTCAAAAAAAATGTCATAACCTAATATACAACAGCATATTCATTGATTATTAACTCAACTTCATTATCATCATTAATCTTATCCTAAAAGTTCAGGTCTGGCTCCATCAATCCTCCTCCATTCATTCCTTTGACCCTTCCTTTAATAACCAAAAAAAAAAAAAAATGAAATAAAAGAGTATGAATCAAAGTGCAACTGGAGATAAAATATGCTATTACCACTGCCCTTTGCATTCTTCCACCTGAAATAGCCTTTCTTCCAAGCAACAAACGCAAGAAGAAAAATAACAAAAATTGCCGCACAAATGATTCCAACTATTTCCCCAGCAGATATTTTGTTACCACTTGGAGGCTTGAAATCTGAAAGAAAAGAAGAAAATGATAAAGGCAGTCATGGATGGACAAAAAACTTTCAACAGCATGAACAGTTATAGTTGCACTCCCAAATTGTATTTCTGAAGTAATATAAGGCAGAAAAAAAATAAACACCAAATTTATTAAGGCATTTGATAGTATTGTGTTTAGTCCAACACGGAATAAATGAAAAATAAATTGTTGCAGAAAAAATGAGTCTGGTCACTATGTAACTAACCTAAATTTGGAGATTCACTTGACAGCTCCACATGATTGAGTGAGCCTTTGGAACATGATAGTTCATAACATCAAAAAAAAATTCATCTAGGGAGAGTAATAGATGTTGCGGAGGGCTTTTACATAAATAAGAGATTTTTAAGACATCTCCCAAATGTATTAGGATAAAAAATATGTTGCCATAAAAACACCAACTACTTGGATCTCCTCCATAAGTTCGAACTTGAGTTTACAAAAAATTTGGCCATCCGGCCAGTTTTGATCCTCTTTGATTCATAACAAATAAAAAAATACAAAAAAATTAAAGACCAAATTTCCAAACAATCGATCCAAATCCTTTAAAAAACCAATTCTTGAGAGAAGTCTAAGATGTAAATATAAAAAAAAACCACAATAGACAAATTAGGAAAAATCCATGGTGTCATAAATGCCATACCTTTTGACTAGCTTGATTTTGCAAATTAGATTTTTAAGTGAATTGTCAAATAATGAGGAAAACAAGTTCTTCATTTGTATTTTGATCATAAAATAACGCATATAAAGTAAGATAAAAATTGCTTAGTTAGATACTTCATAGAAAATATAAGCATTAAATGTATGTTTTAATGGCAAAAAATATGTAATATAGCAATAAGAAGAATCTTTTTATCGATACTAGAGATGATTATAAAAAAATTTAAAAGAGGATTTTTATGTATGTTATTTGTGAGAGGACATAGTTATGATAGCAATACCCTTCATACACAGCGAAAGTTATGATGATAAGTATAACAAATTAAAAAAACAATGGGCTAGAACGAATACGCCAAAGACATACTGTTGGAATTAATCACCAACAATCAAAATGGGAGCAGTGAAATGGAGATACTATGATAAAAAAGCGAGAAAAGTAAAACATGTGAGGATGGAGAAAAAATTATTATGTAACATAGATTGGTGGAATTACAAATATTGAAGTTAAAAAATTGACTATGATTTAAAATGTAACACTGAGACAAAAGGCGCATAAATAAGATGAAAATATAAAAAATGTGAATAAGGGTAAATAAAAAGACACGCGGACTTGAAATGAGCAAAAAAATTAGTTTAAAATGTAATTAATATTTCATACCAAAATCAGTAAAATTGAACAAAGAAGAAGTATACACAATTTTAAATAATTATGATACTTCATGCCTTAGAGGAGCTCTCCACCCACATCCTCAGCTTGACCTTTTGGTTCACTTGTTGTTAGAATCAACTTGCCCATTGGTTTAGGCTTCACTTGTTGATGTGGTTAGGCTAGAGATTATTTACGGTACTTGAAATGACTTGGACTTTGCTTCTGCTGATTATTAGGTCTATCTATGCGAGAAACCATCTTTGTTGGTTCTATTCATTAGTCAATACTTTAGTGATCATCAAAACAGATTTTAAATTATTATAACAATTAATATTATTATTACAATTTTATCGCTATTGCCATAATTATTCTTGTTTTTTATGACATGTTTTTATTATTGTCATTGCCAATCTCAAGCTCAGATGAGGAAGATTGAAGATAGATGTTAGGTTGAAAATCAATTAATTTAAATGAAAGAAATATAAATTTGAATTTTACTAGTATTAGGTTGTTCCTCAAAAGCAATGTGCCGCAACCTATCCTGATTGTCATGAGAAGTAGCCAAGGGTGAATTAGGACATCAACCTTACATGACACACCACAACTTAATGGATTGTGGTAAAAAGTAAGCATAAGTAGGCTAGGAAGCCACATTTAAGTAATGTGCCACAAGTTAACTTAATTGTGAGAAAAAACAAGCAAAGGTTGACTAGATCTAAATTTAAGATTATTTTTGCCACAAGAATGTTGAAATTTAGAATGAAGACGAGAGTGGATGGAAACTTATAAGAATAAATATTGGTTATTTATAAAAAAACTACATGAAAAAGAGAAAAATATAAGAATATCAGAGAAGGTTATAAGTGGTTGCACGTTAGAAAGATTAACGATAGGAATGAGAATGAGCTGGTAGTTTGTAAATATGTTGAAAGACAAAATTCATTAGGTTAGAAGGGTTAGTGATTGTGTAATTTTGAACAAGATAATTATCAATGAGAAAATTGAGAGTGCGATCGTTATAGATAATACAGAAGTTATATAGAAGAAATTAAAAAAAAAATGAGAAGAAATGGATAAACTACTCTAATGTTTACGTTATAGATAATACAGAAGTTATATAGAAGAAATTAAAAAAAAAATGAGAAGAAATGGATAAACTACTCTAATGTTTACCTATTACGGGCTCTAAGATAATCTTAAGAAGGATGATTTTATATTAGATGATTTTGCTCTCATGTATAAAATAAATACTAGCCATTGTACGGGGAGAAATTCATCAATCTACCAATGAAAGATGTTCTAAATTTGCCTTGTAAAACCTATAAATTTTTATTTTTTAGGAAGCAAACAAAAAAAAAATCAAAGCAGTGTGTTTTTTCCTTTGGCTATCTTTCTCAAGACCATGCTTCAAGGAAGAAGGTTTGCAGTGCTGATAAAATGGCTAAGCTGGACTACCTCGTCACCATTGAACCTAATAGTGTGGGCCTATCCATCTCCTCAAATTCTAATATCATGTTGTGGCATACACATTTCAAATATGCTAGTTTCCCCAAGGGCTGTCAAAATGGCTTGTTGGACGTGAATAACTAGTACCCGGCTCGTTGAGAAGCTCGTGTTCGATTCGTTCGCTAAGCAAACATGCCAAACACGAATAGAGATTTGTTCTTTCGGGTTCAACTTGTTTTGACTCGAAATAATTAAATTATTTATATATATATAATTGATAATTAATATTTTAAATAATTTAATTGTCAACAAGGCTACAAAGAGTTATAATCCATTAAAATTATTAATTAAAAAATAGAATAAAATATATTAAATTATAGTAAAATGATATTTTAATATAAATAGTAAGATTGAAATCTCACCCCAACCCTTAATATCCTACGACAACATGATGAGGGTTGTCAAAATTATTTTTATTTGTTGACAGCTTGTGTTCGGCTCGCTAAGCAAGTGAGCCGACCACAAACACATTTTTTTTGTTCAAAATATAAATTGGTCGAACAAAAACAATTGTATTTTTAACCAGCCGAACAGGAGCTGAGTTTGGTCTCGCTTGTGTTCGGCTCGTTTACACCCCTAATCGTCGATCAACTAAATAAACCCAAGATAACCTTTCAGCACAATCATGCAAACCATGCAAATATTCACCTTATTCATAATGCACTTCGAGAACGCATTAAAACGATAAGCTTAACAAGACACTGATGGTTCATAATTTTTATTGATCATTAAGGGGTCCATTGCAGATGCCTCAAGAGAAAAAAAATTATTATTTTTTTATTTGCTCAAACTATTCAACTTTTAAAAAATGTGTTTCAAGCCACTATTCAAAGCATACACATCAACAGTTAGAAATAATATTTAACCCATGAGTTTAATTTGTACTCGAATGAAAATTGGCTTCAATATAAAAAGACTTGTGCATATACTACTCAACAAAATGGTTTGATTGAAAGAAAAAGGACCATTTTTAGAAAAGGCATGATCTATCATGTTAGCCAAATTAGTCTCAAACTCCTGCTGGGGAAGAAGTCATCTTCACATCAACTTACCTAATCAACCTAGAATCGTCTACCATCAAAGGCACTTAATTTTCGAACTCTCATGAATGTCCTGCATGATTGGTATCCTCACCCGAGGATTCTAAATTGTTTACCTCCAAGAGTTTTCAGGTGTACTATTTCTGCACACAACCTTTGACAAAATCAAAGTAAGCTCGATCCAAAATCTATCAATTGTGCATTCGAGGGATATTCCTTAGCTCAGAAGGACTATTTTTTGGCTATAAAAAGTCGATAATATCCAAATTGAGCATTGCAAAAATGAAACTATCAAGATGAATATGTGGAAAACTAGAGATTATCAATTAAAAAATGATTAAATTTGAAAAGAGCATAGAAGTGATATTTTTTTGTAAATAAGGTTCTTTAGATAGTTTGTACATGCAAAGAAGGGTAGAAAATATGCCTATTAAAGGAATTAATAAAAATAGCATCACAAAATTTGCAAAGAAAAATGATAGATTTAAAAATATATGGATAAAGGTTATTGAAAATGATTTATAAGAAATATTTTTAACACCTCAAACAGCACTCATCGAAAATGAATGGTAAACGGGACTTGTTATCATCGAACCCAAATAGTCGGCATATAATTAAAAATAATGATCAAATAGTTATGATGATGTCATTTCATTCACTTGCAATAACAGAAATAATAAAGAAAAATGATATCACGAGGCATTACTCAAAAAAATTACATGCCAAAAGGAATGGCAAATGGGACAAAAAAAAAATTTAAATGTTGCATATGATTCATGAATAAAAAAAAAATGTATACTTCAGACTGAAATAGATAGAAAAGAAGATTTCCATAAGCTGCACATACTGGGTTCAACTGATATAGCTGAAATGAGAGGACCATATGTTCCACTTACAGGAACAGATGTTGTTCCTTTTCCATCCCAAATGAATCGGATCTCCAACCTCTTCCTTGTAACATTTGCAGTAAAAGTTTTAACAATAGCCTTATTTGAACCATTAGCATTATCTCTGATATTGAAATCCTTTAAGACAAGTTTCCCCTGAAACAAACAAACATAAATATTAGAACCAACTCCTTAGAGAGATTAGTTTTAGGTGTATTTACATACAATATTTAGCCAGAATTTTTATCTATTTACGTATCTCACAAAGGATCATTCAAATTTACACACATAGCACTTTTTGTTTTAAACCTATGCATGAAAATGTCTCACTTTTATGAGGGTTTAGGTGTGACATATGTAAATACATATGAATTGTGTGCTACGCATGTAGATTTCCCTAGGTATTATTTCTTCGATGTTGTACTTACCTGTACGTAAACATCAAAAATCCTTCTTCCAGGACTGATATATCCCTTGTAATCAGTGATTATTATCTCAGCAAAATGCAGCTTAACACTGTACTCCCCGTTTATCAAACAAAACCCAAAATAGGTGAGAGATAAAGGTGAAAGTCGTGCAGTTTGATATAACTGAGAGTCTGGTGTATCAAGGTTTTGTGTAGTCGTTGCTATGAAGTTGTTGTTATCTCTAGAATCCAGGAAAGAGCCAGTGCTACTATATGCCCAGTTGTTGTCTAGACGAAATGTTGAAACACCATCAGTACCATCATTGTCTTGCATGTAAGTCTTGTAAGTTCCATTTTCATAAACAGAAACATCATCGCCTCCACAATTTATGTACAAGGACCAGATATCTATTAGAATTGCAAGAAAAATGAGATTTTTAATGTAACAAATAATATGCAAAGATGTTATACTAAAAGAGAAAATAAATGAAAATATCATTATCGAATAAAAGGCTTAATGTCAAGCCTATTACAGAGAAGTAAGAGACATATTAGCACTTAAATCATACTCAATTACAAGGAAAAGCTCCCTAGCAAGTGAACAGTTTACACTATAACTGACATGCACAATTGCCGGTGAGTAATAAGAAATAACGAGTGGGGGGAGAGAGAGAGAGAGATGAATTGATAGAAAATGGAAATTAACAAAAAAATAAGAAGAATATTTTCATTATCATGAGAAAACCTTCAGGTTTTAGAAAAATGGGCATTAAGATAAAGTTTTAGAACAATATGAGATACCTCTGTCGGCGTTTAAAAGGAAGGGGAAAGGAAATAAAACAGTGTGCTTGAATATTTAAGGGTTCTTTAGGATCAATCTTTATTTTTTATTTTTTATTTTTGAAAATAAAAAATAGAAAACAAACTAAAAAACACAGTATTTGTTTATCTGTTTTTTGTTTTATTTTTGTTTTCTATTTTTTGGACAAACAATTCTGTTTTTTAAATACTCAAAACAAAAAAACATGTTTTTGTCTGTTTTTAAAACACTAAAAATTGTGTCCCATAGCCCGCCGCCAGCGCCAGACGCCTGCCCCCTGCCTGTCATCCCCGCTGCCGCCACCGCCAGACGCCGGCCCCCACCCACTACTAGATGCTGCCCACCGCCAGCCCTTGGCCACCGCCGAGCCCAGCTCACCACAGGCCTCCCCCGCCCTTGCCGGCCCCGATCCCTACCCTTGCCGACCCCGGTCCCCGACCATCATCCGCCTCCGCTGACCCCTGCCTGTCACCGCCAGCCCCCGCATGCTGCCAGCTGCAGGCCATCACCCGCTGCCCCCCCGCCCGCTCGCCCGCTCGCCTTCAGGTATTGCTTGGTGTTGGGTGGAGCAAGGAAGACGTCGTATACGCCATGGGCGGTAGTTTAATACTGGAGCGCATGTCGACTCAACGTTTTATAAAAAGTACAGTTTTAAAAAATATAAATAAATAATACCCAACCAAACATGTTTTATATTTTTTATTTTCAAAAGCATATAAATCATAACAGTATAAAATACGTTTTTAAAAACAAAAAAAAAGACTAAAAATTGAAAAAAGATAAAAAACAGAAAGTGATCCCAAACAGACCCTTAGTTATCAAACTTTAATGAAATTTTAAAAAGGGGAGGCTATATGATTATAATGTATTATTATTGTTAACACCATTGTGGTCATCAAAAGTATTTAATTTATGTAAGCATATGTTGTTACCATCTATTGTATTTTCGAGTGACATTTATTAAGTGTTGACCTCAAAATAATTTTCATAACTCGACAATCAAACTAAAAATATATATGAAAGGTTATCTGACGGAAGCGACAAGCAATGAATGTGACGATGCAAACATCAAAAACTTAACTAATTCGATCGACGTTGAGCCCGCCTAATCAATGCCAGTTCATGAAAATATCTATGTTGAAGAGAAAAAAAATACTCTATGAATCTTGTATGAACAAAAAAATGTGAATCTACTTGCATATGAGACCAACTACTTGCATTTTGAATGAATTTTTGCGAGGCCAAATTTAATTACACACACACACACACACACACACACACACACAATATATATATATATATATATATATACTTTCCACTACCCTCGAATCCCGCCACGTCGCACACGTGCCTGCACTCCCACACAAATCTCATTCCCACCTCGTCTGACTATATCGGAAGGCCTTTACTACTCTCATAGCTCCCTACATGAGGGAAATGTTGGAGTGTTACCGAAATTTTGATTGAAAATTTGACTTAAAATAAATTTTAAAAAAAGAAAAGTCAAATTAATCAAAATGTAAAAGAACTCAATTTAAGTGAAAGGCAAAATGTGAAATTAAAAAAAAAAATAAGGAGTTCAAATGAAAATATAAAAACAAATGTTCAACATTAAGCAAGACTTACAGGGGACTCGATAGCTCACTTAAAAGCACGAACGAAACATGTAATAAACTCAATCACTAAATAATAAACATAAATAGAACATACAATGAATTACCAACCCCGCCCACGAGCACAAGCAAAGTTCTCTAATGAGTAATCAAACTATTGGGCCATACTGAAAAAACATAAAATCAAATGCAAATAATACTTAACAGAAGGTTGTGAGAGAATCAAGTTGCGCAGTGATAAGCTTGGATAAAGCTTTTATTGAAGTTCAAAACTCAACAAAATATGAATGAATCAAATTTTAAATGCGTAATCAAAATTTAAAACGTGCACGAATTCACCACCAGATCAACAAGCTTAGTTTGAGCCGGATAGAAGGTTATATTTAAGCTTAAATGAAATATTTATTTGTAATTAAATGATAAATTACTCACACATACTTAAAATTCAAATGAATTTGAGACTTAACATGATTTTTGAAGTTTTTTATAACCTGAAGATGTTATTCTGAAATATGTTAAGCTGCATCGATTAGTGTGCATCCACCTAAAAGGCATGCATAATTGATTAACTTAATATCATGAAACTGTGCATGCATATCAACACGGCATTTGAATGTGCATCAAAGGCATCAAAGGATAAAAAACTGTATTTTGAAGCATTGAGATGTGTGCACTTTGCAACATATAAAGCCCGCATGTGTTCCGATCACGGTACTGAAAGTGTGATCGTACGGTCTGAAAATGATGTGCGGGCTCCGCATTGTCCCTTGCTATGTTTCTTCTCAAAATCATACCTAAGAGATCAAATTATCATATTTTTTTCAGGTCGCCTTGTATATAGGGCAAAGTTGTAAGTCCCAGTAGCCCAGTCTGATCCTCCTGATAAGGACTGAAATTGATGAGATTAAATGCTACTTAGTAAGTATGGTCATTCTCCTGATAGAGATGAAGCTGACAAGACTGGCTAATGATTAAATATTGGTGAAAGAGATCCTTCCCGATGCTTAAGAAATGAGAGAGATTTTGTCTCTGATGACATAAAAGTATCTTTCAAACTCGATTCTCTTTAAGAGAGACAGAGCTAACAGAATTCAAGTCAAATGATCAAATTACTGATAATGGTCGAGTTGATAGAAAATTTTAACTAGAATGGTCTATTTTGAAAATTAAACATCAGATTTTATTTGAAGAAATTTAATCATATAATTCATGAGCTTGGTACTCTGAAACCAGGACAGAGTTGACGAAGTTCATATTCAATCATACGTCAATTCCAATCCTATTCTTTTGCAAGCAAGATGCAGAGTTGATAGTGTTCATTTTAATTAAAATTTAATGAAATTTTGAAATCATAAAAATTATAAAATACTAGAATTATAAAAAATGAAAAAAAATTTAAAAAGTTAAAATTAGTTCACCTTCCACGCCAGTTTATTGAGGAAAACAAATTTATGATTGACCTAAGCTCACATGGAGTCAGTGTTGAATCATATATACCACTAAATTCAATCTCAACTTAATCTACACAACAATCAAGACGTGGCCCGTGTCCACTGTCCATGTGGCTTGGCCAGCCGACTCTATAAAATAAACGGTTAAGTCCTAAGCCTTCTGACGGGATAGCCACAGACAAATGGCACCATTAAATTACGGTCACGGTTGTAGCCCGTACGATATCGAATGGTTCTTTGCTTTTTGAGATTTAAATCATAGGTTATATTTGATGGGGTACAAAGCCCTCTGTTAACTAAAGGTCGACTTAAATTAGTCCTCTTAGTAAAAATTCATCCCAAATCTACAAGATTACCTTGGACAAAGTAACTTTTGCTTCTTGATAATGATCTTTCAGTCATGTTGAGTCAACTACCTCCTCTGACTAAGGGCACGTTTGTTTCAACTATGACTGTAGAAAAGTTGATTACTGAAACTACTAATGAAAATGTTCTTCAGAAACTGGTATTTCAGAAGCAGTTGGTTTGTTTGAAAAACACAATTCTGAAAGTCTTGTCTATTGACAAAAAAAACTGTAATAATCGTAAGTATATAGTCATAGTTTAGTTTGAACTGTTTGGAAAATGTTGTTCTGAAAGTGTCTCATACGAAAAAAATACAATAATAATTTATCACGTTATTTTCACTCGCAATAACATAATAGAGAAAACAAAGGTAAACACTAACTAAATTATAAGAAATCATCAAATTATGTCTTCTAATAACAACACAATCACAATAAATTGTGATAGAACAAATGGTTCAAAAAAACTAGTTTGTTTACAAAATAAAAACCTAATACAATACAGTTTGTTCTCCAGAATAAATGTACCTAATCAAAACATACACAACGCTAAAAACAATAAAAGCAATGCTACAATCACAAAATTGAACAGAAGTGAAGTTTTCACAAGGAACTTCAAGATTCTAATAACATTTTTCACTGTATCATCAACTGCATGTATACTTTCGTTAGCTCGCTCCTGCGGTGCTTCTCGCGATTCCTCAACCCACTGGAAACATTTATAATCTCTATTTGTTAAATTCTTTGGATATCTGTAAAATTTTGGTCTTGCATTGTCCCATTTTTGAGTGGCAAAAATAACGCTTAATAGATTGCAATCACAGAAAACCGTTTGATGTTTAGTCCTCTTAGCGCTTGTTGAATAGCTTGAGCTCATTTTCGATAGTACAATCCTGTACAATAATACAACAACAACAACAACAAAGCCTTAATCCCACTACGTGGGGTCGGCTACATGAATCCTTTTTCTCCATTGCGTCCTATTTAGTGTCATATTTTCATTTAGTTCTAGTAAATTAAGATCATTTTTAATACAATAAGCCCAAGTCTTCTTAGGTCTACCTCTGCCTTTCTTAACACAAGTCGAATTTAAAACATCTACTCTCCTAATCGAATCATCTAATGGTCGACGTTTAATATGACCAAACCATCTAAGACGACTTTCTCTAATTTTGTCTGTCACAGGAGCTACACCAACCCTATCACGAATATATTCATTTTGCATTTTGTCTCTAAGTGTAAAGCCACTCATCCACCTAATCATTCTCATCTCAGCAACA